GTCCCGAGCGATAGCGCAATTTTCGAGCGAACAAGGGCGTGTCCCAAATGTTTGCGCGACGGAAGAGCACGCAGGCAAGGCAGGCGACAGTGCATCTAAACAACTAGAACCCCACAGTGAATTTGGGTAATAAAAAGGAAACTATCCAAACTGCACCATGTTTTGGGTTTCTAACTTAGCAAGCCGGCCTGCCAGGCTGGGAGGCATGCAAACACAGGGGTGCCGCTGTGGCTGTGATGGGGGGAATCGGACGAGCTCCAGAGCCAAGTGATCTCTTGGACGTGGAAGGCCAATTATAATTGCGCCCAACAATCACTTCCCTCCACCCTGCCGGAAACTCTTTCAGGGCAGTCTAATTGGCCCCAGCACACAAGCATCACAGCTTCACTGCGCTGCACGAGTCCCTTCATCATTTGTTCGCAACGTGGTCGTAAAACATTAATCACATGAGTAACTGCCGCCTCGACAGCATTGCTGCTGGCACCTGGCAACTCATGATCTGGTCCCAAAGCCATGTGAATCGCTTGTCATGCATCCGAGCGTCCTTGTCTTCGGCACAGGAGGTTGCGGGGTCCTCTGGTTGCAAAGGAAAAATTGTCGACACATGCCGCCCACCATGCCAACATGAGCTGATGTAGGCTGTTCAGGCTCCTGACTTCATCGTTGCGGGCTCTCTTCCCGTGCCATGGGCCCATCAGTGCGGGGCACACAAGGCCGGAGGTGACAAAGACAGCCCCTGTGGCTAAGGGGCAAACGCAAAAGACTCAACGTCCTTGAGCAGGGTTGAGCCCGGTCAAGTGATGTGCACTTGCATTTTGGCAAATTTGAGAACATGGTCTTGACCTCTAGCAGCAATGCAAAACAAAAGCCCCAGTCTTCATTGGGCAGAGTCCATCCTGGTTGAAGCCTCTAACTTGTTGACTATCTCTCTCCTCAGGCCGCCCCCCTCCAAATTCGGGCACTCGCAGCTCAAGACTCTTTTTTAAGGCCAATCCGGGCAGCGCCTTATGCATACTTCTACCACTACAGCCTCCCCCGACATTGCGGCACCTTGGCAGCGAAGTGCCGCCCGCGAAGTGCCATCGCCTTGGTTAACAGAATGCTGGTGATGTGACCCTATCTTCATTGAAGGACCCTCTATAATTATGATGTGAAGTTTTCGGGCTTAAACAGGACTTGAATTAATTGGACTAGTCCTCTGACTACGCAGCTTCCCAAAGCCACTGCGCCAACTACTTATGACTACCGGTATTACTACCAGAACTGCGGTTGCTAACAGCACCAGCACTAGTAAACTAGCAGTGGTAGTTTTACAAGTACCAGTGCCAGTACTGGGTAATAGTAGTAGTAGTAGTAGTAGTAGTAGTAGTAGTAGTAGTAGTAGTAGTAGTAGTCGTAGTCGTAGTAGTAGTAGTAGTAGTAGTAGTAGTAGTAGTAGTAGTAGTAGTAGTAGTAGTAGTAGTAGTAGTGGTAGTAGTAGTAGTAGCAGTAGTAGTAGTAGTAGTAGTAGTAGTAGTACTAGTAGTAGTAGTAGTAGTAGTAGCAGCAGCAGTAGTAGTAGTCCTAGTAGCAGTAGTAGCAGTAGTAGTAGTAGTAGTAGTAGCAGCAGCAGCAGTAGTAACAGTAGTAGTAACAGCGACCTTCTGTTTATTCTTCATGTTGGGACGTTTTGCGTTTTATGGCGCGTTCCTGCACATTTATTGAGATGTCTGACAGCGAAAGCTACTTTGGAATGTTCAGGAATGCTGGCCCCCCCCGGCTTTTTCAGGTCTTCGAAACTCAAACAGGCAATGTAAACCTACAACAACAACAACAACAACAACTACTACTACTACTACTACTACTACTACTACTGCTACTTCTTCTTCTTCTTCTTCTTTGAGCGCCTCTTTCACCTGCACAGTCCAAGTGAAGACCCTGTGGATCAGGCCAACGTAGCTAAGTTTAACTATGGCAGCATGCAGATGGATCTCAACGCGCCGGACAAAGAGAAAAACGCCAAAACCCAATTAGCATCAATAGTAGCCATCGACATATCAATATCAAACGTGCATCCAATTTGAAGGCCACATTTGGGCAGAGCTCAGTAAGCCTCACTTTAATAGGAACACCTATCATCTACTACTACTGCTACTACTACTACTACTCCTACTACTAGTACTAGGTAACGGTCGCGTTTATGACGGTGTCTTTTTTTCACTTCGCCCTACTGAAACTGAGGTTTCGTGCGAATTCGGACTAAAGTCCACTTCCGCTTTTTCTTGCCGATCCACTTCCTTATGAAAATTGGTCTGAGTTGTTCGTGCGTTTTATACTGCGTTCGGGCCTATGTTGGGCTCTTTTGCAGAAAAACGCGATTTTTCAAGTAGGCTTCTCGGGAGCTTTTGCTCATTGTTCATCGCCCAATTAGTCCAGGGTAGGCCCCATCAGTCCAAGGGTGTGGGGAGTTCTGATCTAATTTTATCATCGGCTACGCCCCATTAGTCCAAGCGTGTGAGGGGTTCTGCTTAAATTTTAGCATGACAAAGAAAGCCAAGATAAAGCGGAAGTGAACTGGCACCATCTATACCCGGAGCCTCCCCCTCCTCCTCCTCCTCCTCCTCCTACTACTACTACTCCTGCTACTACTACTACTACGTACTTCTACTGCTGCTACTGCTACTACTACTAGGAGTCTAGGAGTACTATTACTAGTACAATATGTACTAGTAAGCCCTAGGTCCTAAAGCCCGAAACCCTTAATCCCATTGGGCTTTGCCAGCTTGCCACCTAGGCACACCGATGGCACAGGCTATGACGAACTCCCATTGCACCGCGAGCTTGAAAACTGCGGTGCAGCTCTGGGCCAGCGATATTCGATTTCATGTGATGCGCACGAGAGATCATGATACACTGAACCAGAAGAAAACGTCATACATAGCACACATAGCGCCAAAGTTTTAAACTTCCCTGGATTTAGCACTGGTTGTGGGTTGCAGCTTTGTGCTTGCGCGTCCTGCTCCTCGCAGGACATACGAATGGGGCCGTCGGCAGCGTACAGAGCCATTGCTGGGGGACTCGGGACAAGACTTAAGCCAAATGCTGGCATAGCAATGTCGGTTAACCCCCACAGCATGAACAAAGAACAATACTGTGATAATAAAGGATTTATACCGGTAAGAATTAAAATGATTGCAAAGGAGCGCATTCATTGACAAATCGTGCCAGCATAGGACCCGAACATTGTAAGACCACCAATATTAGCGAATGCATTAGTGTAACCTATCCATCGGTTGGTCTATGTGCTTCGATTGACGCGCTCCAAAATTGGAAGCCACACCTGTTTAGCAAGACGTTTGTCCAATTCGGTCGTTCACCGTTTCGTGAAGCCCTCGGGAAGGATTAGCTCAGCGAGTCCCGGAAGGCTAGGGTTGCTGTTGACGTTGAGACATTGGGATGCTTTCCCAGGTGCAAATTAATGTTGGCACATGTTAGTTAGTGTGCCCCCCCGGCTAAACAACTTTCAGTCTCTGTTGCGCGTGATCGCCTGCGAACTAGTATGCGTGGAATGCTAATCTCCGGGCTCCAGGTAGCTTTCTCTTCGAAACTTCAAACTTGGAACATATGTCTGCAGGAATTGAAAGAATTTCTGAGGGGAATCTCTAGCTAGAGGCACCTTTGTATTCAAAAAAGGTATCATTCAAGAAAACTAGTTTCTTGCAGTCCAGGAGCATTTCTTTTACGAAAGATCCTTTTTGAGGGTTTTGGAGGGATGTAGCTGTGCAATTCCAAAGCGAGTCCTCTGCAGAGCTATTGGCTCTTCTATTGGGGGGTGGGTCGGCTGGTCCTACTTTGGGTTGGAAGCTGAGCCGTACTTGATGAATGTACATCCCCACTGTCCAGAGAAGAGCAAATCCTTTCCTCATTCTCAGGTCAATCATGCCTTTGTGAGGGCACTTGAAGGCAGGCTCTGCTGTAAGCTTGCATCAGGAAGAGAATGGCTTGAAAGGAGCTTCAATTGACTTATGCAGCCATTATTTGTCAAGGTGGTCACAGGCGTGTTAATTTTGCAAAGGATTTCCGGGGCCCCTCATGGAGAAGCTCCTGATTGATCATCCTAGTGTTCATGAAGCCCTGATCATGCGTGGCTACTTGGATCTTTCCCCTGTAATTCTTGAGCAGCTCATGAAATTCCTTGATCACCTCAGAGCTTGAGGATCTGGATGCCGACTTCTGGAAGGAGGTCCTGCGGGTCTTCTATGGCCAAGCCCCTTAGAGAATCCACGATGTTTTTGCTGAAGCGTCTGGCGATATTTGTGCTCATGTGGCCAGTGGTCCAGCTCACTCAGGCAAAGGCACCAACTCCTGAGAACATGAAGATGCTGCTGGACAATTATGATTCGGTGGGCGTGGTGAGGCATCTTGTTCGAACACATAAAGGACTGGCTAGCTTTGGTTTGTGCAGTGTCTTCACGTTCCTCGGAGTTCTTCGGTATTGCAGCATTGCCCAGCAGGACTTGATCACAAAAGTGGAAGCACAGTTTGAGCCTCATACATGGTAGATTTTCTGGATTCTGGTTAGTGTGCACTTTGTTCGTGTATCAGGTTACCTCCTAATGGACTGGGCTGAACTGAGGGGAGGCTGCTACGGAGGAGTGCACAGAGGCCTTTGTGCAGCAAAACCAGTTTGAGGATTCGCAATGGTTTCCTGAAGAGTCCCAAGTTTTTGATTTTTGATTAGCTCGCAAACCCACCGTGGCGGCAAGCATGCAGGGCATGAATGAGGGGGAAAGGGCTTGCATCCTGAAGTGCCAGTGTGCTTGGCAGCGCAGCACCTAAACAACCTCTTGTGACTTCCAGTATGTTCTGTGAAGGTCAGCTGCAGCTTCTTGGATGGCTACATTCTCAGTATCCTTGCAGCTTATCAGGATGACATATGCCCAACTGTTATCTGAGCTTCTTCCGGCTAAGAGTTTCAGTGGCTCAGGGCTTTCTTTATAGAAGCGCAAGTTGTTGCATCAATGCCTACCCTGGCTTTGACTGACTTTGCTGATGGCCTTGAGAAAAATGATACGGCCAGGAGGTCAGCCCGGGAAAGTGGCAAGGCCATTGTCTGGCCAAGCCCGGAAACTGTGGGCATAGCATCAATGACCTTTGGCCTTCAACTGACCTACTCACCCATTCTCTATCCATGTCTTCCTGGCATTACTTGCATTCGCCAAGCGACCTTGTTTGTGCATCTGAGGAAGGCGGTCGCGATGAACGGTGATGCCTTGAAAGTGCCTTGCGCAGGTGTGGGTGGAGGTCTATCAAGAGTTTTGGGATACCCAGAAGCCCAAGAGCGCCCCTCTGCACTCCATCCAGATGGAAGTTTCTTGGTTAAAACTATATCCATTCATAGCATATGGCCTTTCATGCACATGAACACTGCTCCTGAGGTCAACAAATTCTGGACAATGGTCCTCTGATGCTGAGATGCAGCCGGGCCGGGTGCACAAGCATGAAGAAGAATGGGGTTTCAAGAAATGATCAGCTACGTTCTGCGTCGAATGAAGATGGGCCACCAGCCACGGGTTCTCTGCTTGCATTATATCATGTCAAATGTGGAGCCCTTGGAGAGTTTGGTAGGGTTAAAGCCCCGTCATACCTTTCCTGAACTGTAGGTGGACTCTGTTCGGGAGATCTTCGAGAGCTTTTCTGTGTGGCTCCCGGACTACAACAACGTGCCTTCCAATGGAGAGAATGCTGAATCCGGCAGCGATGATGACGATGATATCGATGATGATGATGATGATGATGATGATGATGGCGAGGCTTCCTGTGAGGCATGCCGCTTCACGAGGGTCTTCCGGAGCACGAAGGCAATGAGGAGGACACATTCTAAGTAATCAAATCATCTACAGGTGCTATAGCGATGTGCTTGCTAGCTAAGATGTGTATGTAGCAGCTTGGAACGCAGGACATGATGTCGCTCCATGACGCAGAGAATCAAACCCCGAAGGTGAAGCAACTTGTTCGGGCGAATTCTGTGTTTGATCCTGCCCGAGCAGATGCATTGGTGCAGCTGTCCTCGCCAGAGCCCCCGACGCCGGCAGCAACGAAGCCAGATGCCACGGTGAAGGCCGCGCAAGCAGCCTTGGCTGATCAGCAGGAGAAGGACTTGAATGAGAAGATTGCTCTCATTGAGTGCCTAGGTTGCAGCATACTCATGTTACTTGATTGGATCGTTTGCCAGCTGCTGTCACACATGATTCTTAGGGCAAAGCTTGCAGCCAATCGTGCAAAGCAGCAACAGGTCATTCCGCAGCTGCCTGACTCATTCATGACTGAGTGGCTTGAGAGATAGCGAGTGACACTCATAAAATTTGCAATCGCATCAAAGACTATACTTGCAGCCAAGCTAAGAATGCACCACGCCAGCGGCAGCACGGATATTGTGCCAACCGAAGATCTGGATGGGCGCCTGCAGATGAGGCTGAGCCTATGGAGACTTGGCTTTGATTACTTCTGTAAAGCTTGTATGAGCTGTGAATCTAAGTAGACCTGCAGCTGATACCAGCTACCGTGTTTCGCGAGGCTAGTGTGCAGCGGCAGAATGCTACGTAAAGAGGATCTGTTGGATGATACAAGCCTTGCCAACCTCCCAAGAGCCCAGCCCGAGCACCCCCAAGCCCAACAGCAGTGCCAGTGTGGAGGAGAGTAAGGAGCTGGAGGAGGAAGAAGCTGCGGATGAGTTGCCAATGTTGAGCCGGGAGCAGCAGCATCGCATGGCTAAGGTCTAAGGAAATGGGTGTGGACAAGCGTGGGAGGGGTCGTGGGAGGGGGCGTGGCCGTGGGAGAAAAGGTGCGGCGAATGCTTCAGAGGAAAAGGGGGAGGGAGGAGATGAGGATCTGGAGAATGAGGACATGGACGATGAGGAGGTTGAAGCACCCAAGAAGCCCCGCAAACCCAAAGCCAAGGCTCAGCCAAAGACCAAGCCCGAGCCAAAGAGCAAGCCCGAGCCACAGACCAAGCACCAGTCCAAGCAGCAGGAGAAGCCAAGCCAGGAAGATGCCGATAGCCAGTCCGAGGATGCAGAGCCTGCCCCCTGCAAGCGCCCTGCAGGGAAGAAGTCGGCAACTGGTGGCCGCGCTGACAAGTCTGGGAGAATGCCAGTAGCTTGAGAAGAAGAAAGGGATCCACCTGGGTTACTTTACCTTCGGCAAGCACGACCCAGGGTTCGCTATGTCAGTTGCTGTAGCAATCTGCTTGAAAGCTAGGAGTGCGATCAGCCATCTTTGTACAAGTCTTGTGGGGTCTTATTATTTCTCATTCTGGTTGGCTGCATGGGTTAATTCGCACCGAACTAGCCAGCAAGCTGTCTGCAGCAGAGGCTGATCTCAAGACATGCTACAACCGGGATGAGCGTCCTGTGCCCACAACGCCAGAGATCATGAAGCGCGTGGCTGGATTGAAGACCCAGAGCCCGCTTGCCTTGGACACAGTGCTTGATCACTGATGAACGCCAAGAAATCCAAGAAGCTTGAGCTTGTTTTGCAGTTCTACTTCAGTGACTGCTTGTGTGAAGTGCTGGCGGATCACTGTAAGCTGTTCCTGACACTTTTGGCGTGCGCCGATTGCTCCGCACGCAGGGACATGGTTCAACTACCTCAACTAGCAAGATACGCCCGTAGCACGGTTGAACACCTGCACTGCGTCCCTAGAGCGACCCTGAACAGTGCCATTAATTTGTCTGCACGCGTACCAACCCGTCCCACATGGTTTCTAGCTTTCGATCTTCACAACAGAATCTCAAGTACAACCCCGTGATGATGAAACAGCGCAGTGTGGGATAGAGCACAGCAACTGTGAGGGTTACCAAGACCTGGCCGCCGCTGCGAGGGTGTTGAAAACAAGTCCAACTTGTGCTCAGCAGATATATATATATATATATATGTAGAGATGTCAGATCCCAAAACAATTAATCGATGATATGCGCCCCATCTTCTGGTATACCCTTGACTTCTACAGACGCTGGGCAGCCAACCATATCATTCCAAGCTTCACGTTTCCGATGTCGGCCCAGTCCTGGTTTGTCCCACGCTCGTCGGAGACTGCACAAGGCTATCAAGGGCAGCTGTCTGTCTGGCATGGTTGCTACATAGGGCAGTTCACTTACCCCAGTTTGAGTACCGAATCTTAGCTTATATATGCCCTGAATTTTAGATCGGTTACAATATACGGGCCAAAGCTGGCTGCAAGGACCTGTTCAGATCATGAGCGCAGAGGGCTACTCCCGCACAAACTGTTGCGAGACCAGATTGCTGTAGACATGTTGCCCATCTCTATATCTGCGCCTGCCTTTTAGGCTCCTTGGGGTTGTCACACTTCGACCCTGGTAGCTGCTTGCGCCCCATGACTGTCGCTGTGGATGAACTGGTGTACCGACTTTTTGCACTGGACGCACCGCGTGAAACCTGCCGCGGATTGGTTCGTGAACGACAAGCAGAAATTAGACCGGTAGCTGCTTAGTTGAGCTCAGCCCAGGACTTGATAGCCCTCGTCCTCCTTGTGATTTGGACAAGCGACTGTGGGCCGCGTGCAAGACCTTTGCTGCATGAAAAACGGCATTCCACATTCCACTTTAAATCTTCTACGATTCTTGCAGCCTGCATGAGTGAGTCAGGGCTACTCGTGGCTGGAAATCTTTGCAGGGAGTCCAAGGTGCACTTCGCAGGTCAGACTTGGCGGCATTCCGGGCTGCAAATTTGATTTAATCTACAATCAGGGATGGAAAAAGAACACATCTACCACATCAAGGGGGAAGAAGAGTTCATCGAAACCCAGATCCAACTACATGGATATCAGTTCAACAAGCGGATTCGCACCCCCAGGCAACATCATCATTGTTGTTGTTTGAGGCACGTACTCCATATTGACCCAGATAAGTATTCCGCCCCCAAACCTATATGGGACCCTCTACCCGAAAGGAATTCCTTCTGTGACGCCTCTAATAGAGCCCGCGACCTTTGGGGAAATTGTTGCGCAACAAAGATTGGCAATCATATTTCTACTTCGATCAACAACCGGATCCTTTTGCGCGTGGTTTGGTATTGAATGTTCCAGCCGGGCCCAGATCCATAGAGGAACAAGTGCCCGCAGAACGTGCAAGTAGCACAGGGGATGCTTCCAAAGCGTCGGTTCTCGAGGCGAACCAAATGCTGGAGAGGCCGTCAACTTGGAAACTTCAGGTGATCGCACGTCAGCCTTCATGTAGGGTTCATGTGGGTTTTAATTAGATTGTACAAAGCTTGGTGTCTTAATTGATGTTGTTTGGAAGGGTTTTGAAGGCGTGGTTACATGGGCTGGGCTTGCATGAGAGTAGCGGGGTCTCATGGGCTTCAGCTGAAGCTACCCTGTAGTTCCGGAGAGAAGTGCTGCCTATTGCTGATTTGAACAACTGCCCTCACTGAACAGCCGGGAAGTTCAGCTCTCGAATATTATCCGGCCTTTCTCTACGTGCTCATGAAGCTTATTGAAATCCATGAGAGCGCAGCAGCAGCAGCAGCAGCAGCAGCAGCAGCAGCAGCAGCAGCAGCAGGGGTTTTAGCAGTTTTAGCACGCTTGAACTTGGAGTACATCCTGGAATGCATTTGTACACTCCAAAAGGGGTGTTGGGATTAACTTTTTAAGCGCATTATCATGTATATTTTCCCATCACCTGCAATTTCTAGAAGAATGGATCCTTGGGCTTGCTTGGAATGTGAAGAGTTCTTTACGGGCCTACATAGGGTTGGTGATTTGGGAGACATGGTGTCGCGAATTAAACCGTAGGATGCTGTCGTTTGGGATCCTTATATTATGTTGTGACTACGAAAATATCCGGTGTAGAGTACAGAACGGGTTGCGCCATAGGGGTCTATATCAGATTTGTGGGCTTGGTTCGCCATGGGATCAGGATAGGATTTACGAGCTGGTCCCCAGTCTTGTGGGTACTGCCCCCGCTCTGTAGGTTAATATTGGACATGTATGGTTCAGCAAAATAGTTTCCCATATAGCCCCCAATGAAGATCGACTGCATGTTACAGGCTGGAGGCAGTACCCATGGCAGTAATAGCATGGTGTTCAGGTTGTTGCATTAAATCCTTCATTACAATAAAAGCCCCTATCCAGACCCTAGCAGGTGAACCCTTTGTATGCCCAAGGCTCTGGAGCTGGAGGTCGGCATCGAAGTAACGTGTGCGTGTGGTGCATGCGTTGGACCTGCATGCATGCCGCTTCTAACCCGGCAGGCTGCTTCATCTGACCAATCCAATGCTGCGCACGCTGAAAATGACCAAGCTCGCTCTGCATCTATGATGGCGGAAACCCAGCCCGCTTCTGCGCAAGTCTGAACACGCAATGTTGCAAGCTGGAACCAAGCTTGTTTAAGATGCCACGCGGTATGTACCTGAGCAGAAGGAACTTCAGGATGCTGGCCTCACACGAGCCCCTGTGCTTCTGAGTAGCTGAGTAGCAGACTAGTACACACAGTAGATGGAAAATCTATGTTGCCACATTCCCTGCATGTTGAGTCAGCCCAGGCACACCTCGCAAGATGATGATGGGAGCCAGGCCGTGAAGGAGGAGCCAAAGGAGGAAACCTCAGATGCAAATGATGATGCTACAGCTCCACCCACCAAGAAGCGTCGGGTGAGGACCCGCAGAGACCCTTGATGTCAAGTTGGTCACCCCCCTTCTATGAATCCTATATAGTGGTCCACTTTCAAGGTCAGGGTCGAACGAAATCAAAAGAGGTACTCCTCCTCATACTAGCTGCCCATCAGGTGGCTTGCTGCATGGTCCAGACCTAGCTGCAAGCGCCAACGCAAGTCTGAGGTAGGAGTGTGTGCTTGGCATGTAATATAGTTCATGTCTGCCATGAGCGCTGAATTCACCTCAGCTCGCCCATCTCAGGAGAAGCTTCAGGAAGCGGCTAAGGCTCGGCTTCGCCGGATGACCACTAAGAAGAAGCGCCGCGCTGAGCTGGAGGCGCCTGAGCTTCTCATTAATTATTGGCACGAAAGCTCGCGACAACGCCCCTTGAACCCCTTTTTTTCAGAACCTGGAAACCATCAAACCTTGCTGAGGAATCCTTCCTCACAGACTCGGAGGTGCAGATCCGAAAGACCCAGAAAATCACCATCAAGCAGGATGCTGCGTGGTACAGTGAAACGGAAATGAAGACTGAGTTGAAATGGTCTGCGATCGGCACTTAAATTGATTTTTAGAGACGTGCAGCCATTCATGCGAAACCAGTCACCTGCATACATGCCGCCGCAGGTCTCGAATCTCCGGCGCCAAGAAAGCCTGTGAGAAGGATGCCGCCAATCTTATCAGGCACGGGATTTTTGTACTCACTTCCGTGTGATTCCTAATGAAAAGGGCTGGTAATTGCTATGCAATTGATGAGGCACAACCAGTATGACAATGTCCTGGAGTACTGGGTAGTTGTCAGAGAGACTGGTCAGCACGAGCAGATCAAAGAGATCTCAGAGCTGGAGCGGACTCGCAAGTAGGCAATTTTCTTTTGACACCTTGCTGCCCTGAATGCCTCGACCACCAAGATTAGAATTCCAGTCTGAATTTCATGCAGGGCACGCAGGAGATCAAGCTGCCAGACAATCCTTTCAACAAGATTGAGGGCTTTGAAAGCCGAATGCAGCCCGTTGAGACTCCTGCTGGGGATGCACAGAAGTCAGAAACGGAGGCTGGTGATTTTACCTGCGCAATAAAAGGCTCTCTAGGGTTCATACTCCCACGTGTGCGCAATGGACTCCCTGCTCGCTAAGTGCACGAAGCTGAGAAGCTTGCTGAAAGATTTGACGGCCAACTACGGAGATGCCAACAAGCCATGCCCTCAAATCCTTAATTGACACACCGTCTGGAATTATTCATGCAACTCGGTCATGATTATTCCTCATCTTCTCAGGTCCGTGGAGCAGTTGCAAAGCAACATTGACAAGTTAGTCCTGGAGTACAACACTATCAGCGATGAGCACGCCAAGTACCAAGGCGACAACAGCTCTACGCTAGGCGCTCAGATTATTGGAGGGCTTTGAGGTTGCTGGAAGGATGGGGGTGTGTATCTGCAGGCACGATCTCCATAAACCTATATTCCTAAAAGCCCTGCAAACCCTATAGACCTATATAGCTTAACAAGCCCCCTGTAAACCCTATAAACCTCAAAACCCTAGAGCCCGGCCTATAAACCCTTAAGGCTTTACGGCTATAAAACCTATAACCTATATAGCTGATAAAACCCCTATAAACCCTGACTCTGTCTGTCCCTCGACACCCTTCCAAAACGAGGGGGGGGAGGGGGGGAGGTGGGGGGCGCGTGCTCCTCGGTTTTGGGAGACTTGTCTTTTACTTTTTTGTTTCTCTCTCTCTCTCTCTGTCTCTCTCCCTCCCTCCCTCTCTGACGGTGTCCCGTTTTGACAGTGTCCCGTTTTGGAGTCTCTCTCTGTCTCCCCTCCCTCCCTTTCCTCTTGCCTTTTCTCGATTTAATGCATGTCCATGGACAGCCCCCACTTCCATGTTGCCTTCGTCAGGTCTCTTGGGTCTAATTTGTCAAGAGCAAGAAAGAACAACCCACAACGTAGGAGTACATGGCCCCACGCAAATCACATCACGTGCAACTGAACAGCACACTTCTACTCTTCAATTAAGAGCCTGGTCAACCTCAAACCTTTCCGGCACATGCCTCTATAGGATCTCCAAACCGCAACACCACAACCGACATCACTACCCTCCCAGCATAAGTAGTGAAGCCGGAGCACTTGGGCCCCTCAATTGGACTAAATTGAGTAATACCATAGTGCCCCCAAAGAGGTATGGTCATGAAGCTCCCCAATCCGTTTAGTCATGTAACCTGCTTGGAGAATTAAGAATTTCATGCTATTTTCAGGTCATGGAGCAATCTCAACCAGAATATGAAGCATGCGACCCTGGTGCTGGAAGCTGAGATCCGTGAACAACTTTACAAGCCCCATGCAGAGTTTACAAAGCATCCCTCCACACGTATAATCCTATGTAGGTCAAGCCGGGCGACGGCCGTGGAGCTGCAGTTCAAGCAGCTTCCTCAGCTGTAGAGCGCAAACATTCTCCCCTAGTGACCTGTGTTGTATCAAGGAATGCTCTTTGCTCGCAATGGCGCGGCCACGAAAGCCACCCCTAAGCCCTCGCCTGCGCAGTCTCAGAAAGCTGCTGCTGCCAAGTCCAAAAAGGGCAAGGGCAAGAAGTGAGTTTTTGAAGTGAGAGCGGCATCCCTATATGTCCATGCACAAGAAGCGCAAGTACAAGTTAGAACAATATAGGAATGCTACTTCACTTGTTGGTGTGGTCTGATCCACGGAGCGGCTATAGAAGCTGCTTGGGTGATCCAGGAGCCAGCGCTGGCTCAAGCAAACTTGATTGAGATTGCGCGTGGGGCACGCGCTGCATACAATCTCGGCGTCAAAACATACAGACTAGCTTGCTGAGCGATATTTCTCTCAACCTTCATGCATGACCCCCCCCCACTTTTGCACGCCAGGTGCTGGGCCAGCGCTACGAAGATGGGTCCGAGATGTAGGGGATGGTGCCGGGATCCTGGAAATGATTTGCTCAGTTGATCAACTCACGCTTGCGTCCTGCTGAGTCTACCTCCAAATTGAATGCCCCGTCTGAAGCTTTTGGCTGTTACAGTCTTCACGTGCTGCATCAGCATGGAAGAAACCCCGGAGCAAGAACTCCGGGAAATCTTGACGTGTCACCGCTCAGCCTGCTACTTGCAAGGAGTCACGCAGCATGCGCTCACACACATGAACTCAAATTGGAGAGAGCCTGTTACGGAATCTAAGGCGCGCCAGGGTCCATTTCCATGGCCAAATCCCTATCCTGATGTTTCTGCTTCTGGATCTGCTTCAGTTCCGTCCTGAAGAGAGAGGAATAGCCAGCGCGAAGCCATCCGTGTCCTGCGTTGGGGCATATAGAGTCTACTGTCTTGGAAGATTCTGAGATTACTGGTCTTGTTGCCGAGATTGATGAGCACCCGGAAATTCAATGGCGGCTGCCAAAGCGTGTTACTACTGCAGGCAGTGTGTTGAAACATTGTACCTGTTCTATCAACGCGCTGTTGAATGCTCATTCCCCTATGAGTTTCAAAATTGGCTTCACCCACGATCCAATTTGAAGATGGCAGAATGGCCTCTATGGCTACAAGCGAGACAAGGCAGCGAAGTGGCAAACCATGGAGGTTCTCTATGTTGCTGCAGAGCCTTATTATGGCCCAGCTATGCTCGAGGCGGCTCTCATAGACAAGTACCAAAGCATCTAGACTCAAATCGTGGCCCTAAGAGCATCCCACCCTCATAAATCCCATGCCCATGATTCCCTGTCCCCCTGAAGCCCTTGAACCTCAGGCACTCCTGGATGCCAGAATATTCGCTCGGGCGGCGACACGGTCATGGACAAGGCAACCTCAGTTTCGCTGTACATGACGTACATTGTGTACAGATCTTTCAAATTCAAGCCCAAACCCTGAGCGAGAGGTCCAGAACAAATTCTCCCTAGCTTAATTTGTGAGCGAAACTTACCCACACATGCACCACAGGATTACAATTTCCAAGTTGGTGCTCTGGGCTTTTAAGTTCATCATCTACGCAGTTCCGACTCCCCCGCCATCCGCGGAGAAAAAGCTAAGTGCAGTGACGCGTGTGCGCGCAAGCTTACAGGGGCTAGTAGAGGGGATCCGTGCATGCATCGATCAGTGAGCTGTGAGCTGCGCAGTCTGTGCAAGAGCTTAATTTTGAAGCCACCAATCCTTTTGTGCTTCACCGAGGCCCCCTGCAGTGGCGCAGTCCGCGCGGCACGGGCTGTTGTTGCTGAAGTGCCAGCAGCTGCTAGCACTTCTATCGGTGCACTTGCGGCGTGTAATGAGGACAATGCTGAGCACGCAGTGCACAAGGTAGGTGAGAAGTTTAGGCCGACTTTGCCAATCAAAGTGTGTACGATGACGGGCATGCTGGATGAGAAGATCCCTATCCTTGTGACTCCCAGAGTGCTAGCAAACTGGCATTTCATTGAATAATTTTTTTTACACGAATGTTACGGTTTTGATATGATTTCAAGGATCCTTCCGGTTACGATTATGATACGATTCTGACATGGTTTACGATTTGGATACGGTTTGGATACGGTTTGGATACGATTTTGATACGTTTTTTTATACGATTTCAATACGATTTCGATACGTCTCCAGCCTCCCCAAGGACTGGTTTTGATGTGTTTGCTAGGTTTTCGATATGGTGTTAAGACTTGCAGCCGAGCTGCCTTCCGAGCCGTGAAATCGTAACCAGAACCGTATCAAAATCGTAAACGGGAAAACCCCCTAAATCATAAGAAAACCATAAGATAATCATAAAAATAATTCCCGGCGCATACCCTTAGTTTGCTATGTGTGGTAGTCACAACCCTATCCTCCCCTTGTCTTCATGGGCCAATTTCTTCATCCAAAAGAACTTGTTGTTTTCCCTCAGTGGGCTGACTGAGCCGGACGCCGAGCGCTCGGCGTCGCAATGGACTCTTTTCTGGACGAGATTCAAAGCCCTTCACCCCAGACATCCCGTGTTCGATCGCTCTCCCGATGAGCTGGCAAGAACAGCGGCCATATTGGTGCACGGGGATGAGGGAAGATCACGTAAAAAATCTGCTATTATGATCCTGTCTGCACACTCAGCGCTTGGCAAAGGATCCAGCCTCATACAGCCTGAAGACATGGACGACTATGAGAAGCAGCTCCTCAACTTCACCGGGCACTCGTGGGCGACTCGATGGTTGCTGGCAGCACTTCCAAGAAAGATGTATGATGATGCTCGCTCCAGGAATTTTCAGAAGGTCCTCGAATATTTGGTGGAAGACATGCGCTCGCTTTTCAATCGCGGAATCACATCTAGAGATGGCACCACCTACTTCTTTGCTGTCATCCATGTAATGGGGGATTGGCCTTTCCTTGCAAAGGCTTTTAACTTCACGAGAACTTTTCAGAATGCTGCAAAGGCTCCTACTGCAAAGAGTGCTGCGAGGGGAATCTGTCATATCTGCCTTGCCGATCAGGAGGGATACCCCTTCGAAGATTTCAAATCTCCCGAGCCGCGATGGCGACGCACCGTGAACACGGAGCCACCTTTCGAAACCGTCCCCGCTTTGCTTGAATTGCCACACGACCCGGATAACATAATGAGTTTTCCTGGACAAGACCTTTTGCACGGATTTCACCTTGGCGCTGGCAAGGTATTTATGTCCTCAGCTTTGGCGTTGTTTTCTTCGTTCTTCCCTGGGCGGTCATATGATGCGAGATTTGAGGCAATGGTGGCTGAATTCTTTTCTTGGTGCACCGACAACAATGTGAATCCCTACATTCGAAAGCTCACCCGCGAAACGATCAACTGGAAGCAGACTACTGATTTTCCCAGCGGGGGATGGTCGAAAGGCTCAACAACCCTTTCTCTCTTGAGGTGGTTCCTGGCCGCATGCCGGCAGCGCAGTGACATAATTCCTGAGGATTCATTGCTACGTTTGTGCTTCAGGGCGGCCCTGAACATCAACGTGTTTTTCTCCAAGCTCTACAGGCAGTAGGTTTGGATCCACAGTGGAGCGGCGCTGGAAATCGCAAGGCATGGATTTCAATTTCTTCGTTACAATGCAGAGCTGGCAGAAGGTTGTTTTCGACAAGGCCTGGCATTGTTCATGTACATGCCCAACTTGCACCGGCTTCACCATATATTTTTCGATCTTCATGATGAGGCCAGCCGCTCGGACTATGCCATGTCTCCTCTCGTACTTTCATGTCAAATGGAGGAAGACTTTATTGGCAGACCTTCCAGGCTCTCGAGGAGGGTACACGCGCGCACAGCAATGCACAGGACCATCCAAAGGGCACTTGAAGCTTCTTATGCTGAGTACGTCCGTGCTGGCTTGATCATTCCGGGCAACTAAACCAGGGCTCCCTTAAAATGATAACAAATAAATATGTATAACAGCATACACTCCCCAAGCGGTTTAGTTTCTTGGAAATCATGCTGGTTCGGCCGAGCAACTCGGATCGAGAGCACAGATCTCGCCCAGGATGAGCAGCAAAATGGCCGCCAGCACATGTTCAGAGCTGTCACTCCAGAAATCTCAAGACACATGCAATCCCCAAAACCCTGAAACCGGGTTTATGTTGAAAACCGGGTTTTAAAGCTGAACCTTCTTTATTTCGGGTTTCCAAAGGTTAGAGAATTTGTACGTCAAGGCTTCACCCCTCAAACCCGGACCCAGGGATGCTCCTTCCAGAACGAAGCCATTGGAATACCTACATACACCTGCAGTTCCCAAGATGGCAATAGTTGTGATCCATTACGAGAACATCGTGGCTCTAAAGACTTTCACATAACAGGTCTTGATTGAAAGACCTTGACTTTTTAAAGGGCCTGTGATAATATGCACTCGTGAATAATCACATCCTCTGTAACCTTGTGCTTGGCTGGATTTGGGAACGTGGACGTGGACTTGGTAAATGGAAACAGGTGGGGAACACTGCAGAAAATACGTTTCTGGAACCATGGAATCATGTAAATCCACCTGCAATCACAAGTCACGAGCAAGTTACTGCTCTGGGGTTCGGGTGGATCACTGGAAAAAGACACAAGTACTGCGGTGCGGTATGTACACTTGTATGAATACTTTGACACATGCACATACGCATATGTGCATAGGCTAGGTATATTTATGTTTGGAAAGAATGTACAAGAACTAAAGAGAAAACACTCACCTTGAAGCCTGGTGGCCATATCTCGTTCTTGTCTTGGGTTTGTGCCCAGACCCGACATCTAAAAGTTGCACGCGCTTTGAAATTTCGGAGGCGCGCAAGCCGTTCCTAAGCTGACAGGACGCCAGTATAATTAGACTAGTATATTAAGAGGGGCACCACACCCCCAAAGGAGATTATCGTATTAGGGTAAGGGATAGGGAGCAGCGGTCAGAAAAAAAAAAAAAAAAGCAAACAAAAAACTGATTTCCAACTGCGGAAATCGTTTGTTTTTGTTTTTGCCCCGATGCTCCTTATGCTTTACCTTAGGACGACAATCTCCTGTTGTACGATCCTAGATATTTGGAGATTATTGCACTAAGGCAAGGGAGCGGGAGCAGCGGGGC